CATGATGGAAACATGTGCAATCTATGAATGTACTGAAAGATTAAATGAGGTAGGCCTATTTAAACACCTTTCACTTTAAAAAGGGGCGGAGACCGGAGGAAACTCTGGGTTTCCCGAACAAAACCTGCTCCCAACCAGGTTAGGTTCACAGAGTAAGTTGCCATAGTAACTGACTCTGAGTTTAGATTACCTCTCTTTTTGAAACGGGTTTAACTTACCCCGCTTTGACGGGTTTAAGTTACCTTCGTTTCTGGAACCGAAAACTCTGAGTTTTCCTCATTTGCGGGGTTAACAAACTCAGTTTCAACAAAACCTCCTTCTTGAAATGGGCCCCAGGCCATGGAGGGCTGTGTAATAGCAGAAGGGGAGAGAGAAGAGAGAATGCTACTGGGACGGTAAACCGTGTACTTTTTGGGGACCAGCCGGCTGGGGGGGACGCTGAATTAAGACTGACTGCTGAATTAAGACTGACTGCTGAATTAAGACTGACTGGCGCTCTGAAAATCTTCTTCTTTAATACTGTGTCCATTCCGTCTGTTCTCTGTTTCCCAAACTATCAGATTATCTATTCAACTACTACTCTGTTCAGGATAATTGTAATATTAAATGATCATTTAAATTGGGATGGTTTGTCTGAATTAATTTAGCTGGTATCACACTCTAGCCACGACAAGCACAAATGCATTTTCACTATTTATTTTAGAATAGCTCGAACAGGAAGTGAGTGAGTAATAATAGGCGCACCCAGGTAGCTGGCTGCGGTGCAAGTAGTGCCAAATTTATTTACAGTGAAATACACAGACAGGTAAACAAGCAGGGGAAGAACTGATGGAGAGGAACCGGGTGATCTGCAGCAGAGGAAAACAGTCAGTCGTGAGGTGGATGGTTGTAGACCGGGCTGCGGACGCTGGGGTCACTCCTGAACTGGTCGTGGTTGAAGTGGTGGTGGCTGAGGAGACAGGAGTTTGTACAGACAGTTAATGGAGACTGTGCATCGACCTGTATTGTGAAGACTGGCAGGGCTGAGTAGTTTCCAGGGTCCAGAGGAGAAGTCCGTGGAAGAGGAAAGTACAGCAAGAAACAGGCTTCATGTCAATAAATTGTTAAACCATGTATTGTGATAACTGATTAATGGCTTTACTTATTCAAGCAAAACTAAATATTTTCTATTATTATTATGATGTGTAAAACTGTAGACTTAGCCATAATGTTCCTATGTTTGAATCACGACATGTATTAGAGGTCTTGAGAATGTTTTTAGCTACACACCACTTAACCAACAGACATACACATTCACACGTTGATTTGCTTCATGTTTTGACTATTGCCAGAGCCAGCTGCAAAGCTGGTAACAGGGACGTCTCAGTTGACGTTTCTGTGTAGTATGGGGCTAGCCCAACCGAGGTTTTATAATGTATAGGCCAATTGAGGTTCAGGGTCTTTCATCTTACAACTGCCTGCGAGCACGTTGGAGGTGGAAGATATCTGAGTGTGTAATGTTAATTTTACCTGTGATCCTTTGAATAAATCAGCACTGTTTTGAAGTTACTTGGACTGTCTCGTCTCTCAGAGTTAGCATGGTAGCAAGATCCGGTCCTTTCAACGTAATAAAAAGATTTACAAAAACAAAAGAAACTGTCACAGCAGCTGAGCTAGCCACTAATAGGCAGGGGACTATTAGTGTAGTCAATGTGCAACAATCAGCTGTTGTAACAGTGTAACTGGCTTAGGAGACGAAGACAAACCAGGCTGGCAGGAGCTAGGAGAAAACGTAAGGACTGGGAGAATACAACTGGTAGACAAAATAACAACAAGCAATAAAGGGGGCCTGAGAAATCGAGATTGAACTGGCAAAGGAGTGAACGGTGAGCAGGGTACTGTATAAGTAGGGAGAAGAGGTGCAGCTGGTGATAATCAGGGAAGTGGAGCAGGGGTGCCAGATTGTGAAATCAGGGTAAAGAAGCAAAAACAGTGGGAGTGCAGAAAGGCAGGGCAAGCCGGGCAAACCTGCCAGTTTAGCACCAAAAATGAGGCACAAAACCATAGTAAATATCCATAAAAGTGTCTCCTACAAAAACCCAACAAGACATGAACAGGAACACTGGAAAGTATCAATTCCAGGTAGTAGTAAAGAGCAGGCTAGAGGCAAACTCAGGTTTCACCAACGTCCAGGTCAGCATTCACTCTGATCAGTATTCAGCAAGTGCAGTTCAGATGAACAACAAGACTCAAGTATGTGGTCAGTGGGGAAAGCAACCAGACCAGTATGGGCAGCAGGCTAAGTAGTGGTCAAAGGGGCAAAAATGAGATTGTGACAGTTTGTAATATTGCTAGACTAGTGAGTGACTTTATTTGCTATTTTAAAGTTGTTCAGCCCTAAAAAAAAATACTTGGGAAGCTCAGTTCAGCCTGCAGAGGTTTCTGTAGGCTTGTGTAACATTTTTTTACTGCCACAGAGGAAATAAAACTCTTGATAAGTGAAAATGAGTCCAAAATGACTTTAATGTGGAAACCAATTGAATCATCTGTTAAACAGCCAAGAATTACTGCTGTCAGAGATGACGAAGAGCTCAAAAAGAGGATCAGATTGTTCTAACCGCATCCAACAGACTAATAAAAGCGAGTGAGAGAATGAGACTGATAAACAAGTTTCACATGTGGTATTAATATTCTGCTTTAATGGAAACATTTCATTTCTTACTTTTATGCCATTTAATCATTCATCTAATACTTTGACCCATAGTGCAGATTTCTTTTGTAATGACTGGATCTAGAATCTACTGAATATTATTATCCATATTATTACGCCATCTGTGGAAAATGTGAAAATGACCCTACCTGCTATAGACAGTAATGTATACTGCATACAATTAATGTGGTTTTGTTAACAACTGTTGACAACATTTCTCTTTGTGTAGCTCTGCAGTGTTTCCTGCACTCCTCATCTACTATAGCTGGCATGGTTGCCTTGTTGGAGTCATGCCTTAGTTCTGGGTAACACGTGTTTTATGTGTGTGCCTTTGTTTGATGGAGTGCCCTGGAGGACCCAATATGAAATTTAGGATTAGGGCCATTGACAAATATGCTATATCCCTGCTGTGAAGTTTTTATTAGATTCTTTCTGGGGGACAAACATGAAACCATTTCATTTGCTGAACTTGCATGGGATAACGAGGCAAAAGAACATGAAAAAAGAGACACGTGGACATACAGTACTCTACAGACCTAAGCACTGTACTGTATGTACAGTACACATTTACAGCTAATAACAAAATGTGATGTTCCTTGCCAACCCATTCATCTGTTCTTTATGTACATTCTCCTACACAGCATTTGAGAAACACAGTAATGGAAGCGTTCCATAGTCATAATTTTATTTGGCATAACACTCAGTGAAGCTGATGTAAAAACCATGAAGTAAGTGGTTGAAGGATAAAAAAAGTAAAAGAGTATAAAACAAGGATCTTTTATGTTTGAACTTGGATTCACCAGATCAATAAGTCAACCATAAATACAGCAGTTTATAATACAACCAAGAAAACTGACATGTTTGGATATTGGTGGTAAAACCTCCGTGGATAAGAGAATAGTAGCTGCAGTCTCTCCCATATGATCCCTGCCTTCTAGATTACATTGACAAAGAGAAGATATTTGCAGCTTGGTGTAAGCTGTAGAAATTGTCAGTTAACATGATGAGTTAACTACACAGAGCTAGCAAAGACATGCTGACAGGCTAGGATAAACAAATTTTCTGTTAAATATAAGAACCTTTTCACATCACTGTCGCCCTGCATTGATATGCCCACAGCAATGGGAAAGAAGTGGCAGAGGTGGTGGTGCATGATTTATTCACTTTCCGTGGGTCTTGACCATTGGTGATGGTGCCTATAGCCCATACTCAGTTCCCCCAACAAGACTCCACTTCTCCAAGTCTACACAGCAGATGTAGACTGGATGACCCTGGCATCCACATTGCTAATCATGAATCTGAGGACTAGCAATTCTGGCCATCTTTCCAGTATCCAGCATAGGGTTTTCTAGGATTCTGAGTAGATAAACTTTTAAAAATGGGAGCCATTGTCTAACTATAGTTTTCAGTTTTTTAAGAGAGGAAACCTCTCTTCAAACCTCTGTGAAACCCAACAGTTTATTTTTGTAAATGTACTGTCAGTTAGAGGCAGAGCAGCACATTGCTGCTTCCCTGACTTTTTCTGTGAAACCATCCAGGACTGCTGTCCACATAGATGTTGAGACAGTCTTGAACTGGACTACACTGTATCTGCCGTAATGTGATCAATCCACATCCAATTCAATTTCCTCATCAGTGTCATTATAAAATCAGTTACATTCACTGAGTCATAGCAGGCTGTCACTTTAGCTTTACTCCAACAGCAATCTACCTAAAATAAAAACTGCTCCACACAGTTAGGTAGGCCTACAGAGGTTTTGGGAGGAAAGAGGACTGGCATTAGCCTGGCACTGTCGGAGACCCTGATTTGCAGTACTAGAATCTGTATGGAGATATGACTAAGTTGTATCCTGCTCCTCTGATTTTGCAAAATGTCTCCCAGTAAACAACTGCTGAACAGCTGTTTATCATTTGTATGCTACACGTTGTGCCACCCCTATGTGTTGTGCATGATATTCATGCAGGTGAATGGACAGTTACATAGCAAAAACATCATGAAAGCCTTTGCACTTCTCATCTCTGTTTTCATGGCATTCATAGAGCAGCATTTGATGAGGGCTTTAATCTGAATTAAACCTCCAGAACTGGCAGGCTGTAGATTATCTTGGTGCCCTGAATTTACGACAGCTTTGATACATACAGTAGAGCAACTGGCTCACTGGGAGTGTTTGCATTTACATAAATAAAAATAAAAAAAGACATGTTTACTATTTGGATCCTAATATCAGTAAGATGGAGACACTGGAGAGAGGGAGAGAGACGTAGAAAAAGACCGAGGGAGAGGCGCGAGGGGGGGGGGCGCACAGAGACCTCTGGTGCTCGCGCCTCCCCGCGATGCGCTCGCGACAAACACCAATCCACGGGAAGGCTCCGGGTCTGTGACAGCAGCCAGGCAAAGAGAGAAGAGACAGGAGCGCAAACAAGCGGACAAACCTCTGCTCAACCCTGCAACAATTCCTGTTCGTCAGCATCAGGGGAAGTTGTCCTCTCGGTCTCCGGCTGCTGCTTACAGCTCTCTCTATCTCTCCATCTCTCTCTCAAGTAGACGCGCGGACGCACACACACACACCCATCACATCACACGGTTATGTGATGGGTGTTAGAGTGGATCCCGGGAGAGCTTTCCTTCGCCAGGGAATCGGGGTGATGATGAAGAGCAGCTTTCTGCCGCTGACCGGGAAGTTCGGTTTCTACTTCCAGACGACGCTCAGCTAGGAATAAATGAGCCACCGCGTTCACTGAGGGATTAAACTATTAATTTGACTTATTTGGTGTAGAGTTATTCCAGTTCCTCTAGTTCCATGGCTGAAATGTGGTTTTAATTCTGCTCCATCTCACCTTCGGATTGTACATGTTGCCTGGCTGATGCAGCGGCTGCCTCTGGATTGTGGCTCTTCTCTGCCCATATTTGGAGTTATTTGAGCTGCAGTTAACATCACATCCAGGTCAAATGACCGTCTAATGTCCGTGCGGAGTGTGAGCCTTGATGTGACATGGAAAAAACGGGACTCTACAGCCTCCTTTATTACTTCATTCTCAATTCGCCCTTTATGGTTTGTGCAGATGGTAAGTGACGAAGCAAATGAGCAAAGAGAAAACGTTTTAAATCCACAAGCTACAGTTTAAATTGAATGACACCTGCCTGCAAAATTAATCATCTCTGGGTAGTGTTGCAATTAAGCCTGTGCTTTGTATTTCAGCTTTCCCATTTTCCCAGTGGAAGAATAGCTGGGGAATTGTAACAGTGCAAAAGAAACCAGTGAAACACACATAATGACCCAGCTGTGCTTGTGTCACAGCACCCTGAAAGGGATGGAGAATTGATTACTGGTTTTTGTGAAATAAACCCTGAGGCAGATTATAGGTCACAGGTGTTCTAATAAAACTGATTCAGTCTATAAATCATGGGCAATGGGGACTAAAGGAGGCGAGCTTAGGGGAGTTCTGTGTAATGTAATGAAAAAAGGTGGCTGACCATCAGGCCAGAAGCTGTTGTTTTAGGGCTGTTTGAAAGTGTAGACTAGTAGTTTCACATTGCCATTATTGTGTGCTCTGCTGTCTCCCTGTGCCCCTTCATATACCAAAGCTGCATTTACTGAAGTCCCTAAAGATGTGAGTGTGGGAGAGGGAGAGGATGTGGAGATGCCCTGCGCCTTCAAGGCTGTCAGCTCAGTGCCCATGGCTTTGGAGATCCAGTGGTGGTACCTGAAAGAGGATGTGCCTAAAGAACTGCCTCACGAGTTGCAGATCAGCGCCCCGGCCAACAGAGCCAAGGTATCTGTGTGTGTTTGTAGTCTGTTACATCTGCACTGTGTGACCTGCACACATTTTCTTGGACAAAGACTGAACCGCCACACCTTTTGTGCACCCTCTCTTCCTCAGCAATTACAAATCTGAGAATATACAGATGGCAGTTGCACCATGTAGATCTGCTACTGATCAACATTTGTACATTGCATTTATGCATTCCAACTGGCCTGTATTTGTAATACCATGGCTGCAAATATCTGACAATGCTTTGTTAATATAAGCCTCATGCATGCAGTATCTCCGATCTTCAGTAGGTTCAGTTACACTACATTTTAAATGTAATAATCCTCAGTGTCTGAAGCTCTTGGTGAGCTACTGTATAAATCCATACATCCTGCTGTTTATCAGCTTATCCTAACATTCTCGTGATTTGTTTCTGACCTTGGCTGCACCATTTGTCTGTCTTTTTGATGAGACAGGAGCCAGAAAGCATGTGCCTCACTCAGGATAAGGGGCATGTCACTGCGACTGCAGAAAGGGCACTTGTTGGTTACAAACACCATTACATTCCTCTCAGGTCCACCTCCTAAAACCACCATGATAGGATATTGTGGCAGGACGCAGTGGGAATTACTTTTCCATTCAGCATGACAAATTAGTCTTTCAGTCATCTGAGGAGTCGGGGACAATCACATCTGCGGCATTTCCTCTGCACTTGAAGCACATTAAAACAAGCAGTGGGGGTAAAGAGAGTAGGGGAAAAGGCGAGAGAGAGGGAGAGAGGGAGGTTATCAATGGTGTCTTTGAGAAATGTACACAACCAGCTCTGCTTGCACTATTCTCTCTGTGTGTGTGTGTGTGTATGTGTGTGTAACAAATTAATGAAAAATCTTGTGTTGTTTTTTTCATCTGCATCTTTACTCCTTGGCTCTGTTTTCTTAATTCTGCATCTTAGCTCATGTTTTGTTTGCATGTAAACAACATGTTTATCTGTTATTTACAGTGCTATCTCTTTGCAGGTCATTCCAAGGGAAGCCACAAAAATAAGTGTAAGTGTCCATTCTTTTGTCTGTGAGTGCTGATGAGCAGGGTTTTGTTCCCCAAGTACCATGAGGACCATGACTTGATGCATGATATATTTGACAAAAATATACATAGAAAGAAAAGAGCTACCTGACATGCTGGTGTGCATCATGATTAACAGGTGGCTATTTCTCCCACTGCTGGTGATGCTCCTCTCTTCTGACTGAGTCACAGTGTGTGTCTGTTCATGGTACTATGACTCCATGACATACCAAACATCTGGCTCCACTCTAATGACTGATCCATTTCAAACATAGCCCAATATCTGAACAACTGGTTGTTTGGGTCAACCAAAACATTTTTGCTTCTAAGGTTTTCAGTTTTCCCATTTCATTTTAATGGGAAATAAACTTTGAATTATTATTGGTGAATGTAAGTTTGATTTCAACATCCTTTTTAGGCTTATCCATAGACATTTTTCATTTAAATCAACATATTGATTAAACAAAGAAATTGTAACAACTAGTCAGCTTTCTGATGTCCCATTTTCTTCAGATGCGTTTTATTTCGTAATGTTTTCAGACCTATATGATGATGCCAATGTAAAACACACTGTGGCAGGTGGAGCTGTGATCATTTAAAATTTGTGCTGTTGAAGTGTTCCCTTATTAGGGATAATTGAGGCTCTTTAAGAGCTAATGCGTCGGTCTGCTGAGCAGCTAATACGGGGTCATGAGTTGCTGCTTTTCTGATGCCTGTGCCACCACCTCCAGTCATAAAACATGAACCTATCCTTATTAAGATGATGATTAATGCATACTAAACCTGGTTGTTGTTCAGCTATCAGCATTTGCCATGTTTCAGTGTTTTCTTCTTCCTCTGTGTGCCCAGACTGTGCGTGTTCAAGGCAACGCCATATCCCACCGTCTCAGCCTGTCCAAGGTAAAGAAGGAAGATGAGGGGGTGTATGAGTGCCGTGTGTCTGACCTGTGGGCCGACGAGACTCAGGAATTTACGGTTCATGCCACGCTGCACGTCACGGCAGTTGACGGCATGGTGGCTGAGGAGGCTGTGTCGCACATCCAGAACCGCTGGCCGCTGAGGAATGCCAACACAGTGCTGGGAGCAGGGCCAGCAGGGAGGGCCACATCAGAGCCCAGCCAGGGCCTGGCTGGAGATCAGAGGTCAGGGCAGGGGAAGCACCAGGTGCCTCAGCAGGCCCAGCCTGGCCTCCTCCCTTCAATCTCGTCCACCACCACCACCTCAGTGGCCAAGTCGTCAGCCTCACCCCTGCCAGGGAACGCAGCCATCCTCCGGCAGCAGCATGGAGCTGGTTAGTGAGTGTTTGGGGGGAGGGTTGTTGGTGAAACAGAGCCACAGTGCCCCCTAGTGGTGGTAGAAGGGAGGACCCATCTGAGATTCACAGACACAGCTCAGAGGTCTGTGTATGGCTGCAGTGCCGCTCTGCCTCAGGATTTATCTGTCTTAGTAACCCAAATTTTAGCAAATGTGCTCTTGCTTCCCTTTATCTGTGTGTTGTGGTGGAATATATCTCAGACTGAGATGCACTGTGGAGTGTCTTGATCAGCTGCAGCTGCCACTAGATTTTAATGTACACTTGCTATCCACCTGTTCATGAGTCTGCAAATTTTCATTCACCATAGTGGTTTTCATTTGGCTGTTTTAAATAATAGACTACAGAGACAGGTATAGTACTGTATGTAGAAGGACATGTAATGCTACAGTATGCTCCCCTGAGTTCTACCCTTCGGTGACATGCATCTGCTTATGTGCACCATATGACAGCCTGTTATATTATCAGTTGTCATCAAAAACACATTGGGTGAGATAGCTGTTTTACTGTTGCAAAAGAAAAAAAATCTGATTTGGTTCTAGCACTGCATGTGAGAGCATGAATATTTCTGCATTCATACATACTCTGTCTTCTCATGTGTTTATTGCTTGAATATGAATGTGATCTCCCAGCTCAGTGTTCTCCATCATCTGTTCCTTTGCTCCATCACTTTTCAAATCAGGAGAGCATTTTTGTTGATTTGTGTGCTAATGTCTTAAAACCTATTCCTGACTACCTCTGCCAGCGGCTTGGCAGATGGTACAGGAAGGGGTGGGAGCAAGAGAGGGGGTGGAGAGTTGTAATCTACCTCCCCATAGCTCTTCTCCCTGCCCCAGTTCTGTTCGATGAAGCATACTTATGAATAATTAAAACTCATCGAAGTCTAGTGGAGGCTTGTCTGGCGTGCTTCTGATGCCTGCTGATGGACTCCAACACAGACGCAGGAATGAGATACACAAGCATATGAAGTGTGTCTGTACTTTGGTTGAGTGCAGCGTGTATACTTCTACATAGTGGCATTATGTCACTACATGGCAGGGGCTAGTCAGAGGTGCTGAAGGTGTTAGAGAGAGGTGATATCTACTAAAAACCTGATGTCTGCTGTTCTCTCTGTCTGTCTGTGTGTGTGGGTCATGTCATTTCAACAGAGTATCAGCCCACTGTTCTCAGCTTTGATCAGTCATTCAAAAGCTTCTCACAGAGACAAGGGAGAGAACTTTATCAGCAGTGATGCTGCAGCTGCTACATGTAGTGCTTTATTAGGATTGTCTGCAGAGATTGCCTGTCTGTGTACGTCTATAAAGAAATATTAGCCGAACACTCAGGCACTATTAGCTTATGTTGTCATACCAGGCCTGCTGATGACATGATTCCTGATAGATCAGCTATTCTATATATGGACAATAGATTCACATTCATTTCTTTTAATTATGACTAGTCATTTCTGAATGGATGAGGTGAACATCATTGTGTATGCTCCATCAATGATGGCCATAGGAGCAGATTTGCCTCTTAATATTTGCATAACCTTGCTTTCACTTGAAGCAACAGTGAATTTCAATGTTTGCCAAAATAATTGTGACGTTTTGTACAATTGAGCTCAAGTAATGTGTGCTCATCTCCTTCAATGATTGCAGACACTTGGAAACAGTGCAGTGTTTAGTTTAATCAGGACAGGTACTAATAGTTTGTTTGACAGCTGCATCTGCTCCAAGCATCACAGTTCTAATGAGGAAAAGCCTCTGGTGGAAGCCAGACATGTGGAGGTGCAGTGAAATGATAAAATACAGAATCTGACCATGAAAATGGTCACTTATAAGTTTGTTTTAGCTCAAATATTGTGCAGGAAAGGCAGGCCCGCCCTGCAGAATGGCCACTGACTAAAACATGATAAAACCAAATGCACTCGTCCAGTGATAAAAAAGCAACTGCAAATCCAGATGTGTCTCTCACAAGCACAGTTTTCATGCTTCTATATCTGCGTACTCTTCAGTAGCCCCCAAACCAAAATCAAACCAGTGGTTAATAAAGCAGTTGCGAAGCCAGAGGTTCACTGTTTATTTGTGAACCTTCATGTGTGGGTTGTATTCTGGATGAATGCTGATATAAAACCTCAGTGTCAGAAGCTTGACTTCCCATTATTGGACTGGCAGGCCTGATTACATAAAGCCTCTTACTGTTTTGGTCATTTCAAAGAAGACACAATTGTGATATCAGCATCACATTGGATGACAAAATGTTGATGTGAGCTCACATTTCCCTCTGTTACAAGGCTGGCAAGTTAAGAAAATAAAAGCTGCCCAGAATGTACTATGGTAGTCAGATGAGCATTTCTGCCAAAAAGCAGAATGACTGCATGTGGCCAGTTATTAATAAAAGATGCTTTTATGGTATTTTTTTAAATATAACATTAACTGTGTTACACCACATCAGTCCCTCAGATCAGTGATTCCCAATTCTTCTGGTCTGTGGTCAACAACAAAAATCATGAAGTGTCCATTCATTCATCATCTTGGGACACCTCACATTTCTTTTGTTTTTCAGCTTCCTGAATGGGAACTGTTGCATTATATAGTGAGCGCCTCACTAAACTTCTTAAAGTAAAAAAAAGGAAAAGTTTAAACATTCCAACTCTTAGAAATGTTTCCCTGCCACGACAGTGTCCCTTATGTTGCCCAGTGGTGCACTTTTATTATCGACTAATCTGCCAGTGATTTATACGTTTGTGCTTTCTAGTGATGCAGCCATTACTGCAGTGGCAGAATTGAATTAAACACATTAAGACTGACAGTAAAAGCTTGGATGTTTGGTGTAATGATGGTTGGAAATCACTCCCTCGGACAAATGAAGGTAGCCTGTGGGAATGTGGAAGTTATTTAGCCTGAAAAGACTTGTGTGAAATTGATTATGACCTTAGCTTTGGGAGAGATAGATAGAACTGTAATGTACAACTTTTGTCCGACTCTCTCAGTCAGATGAAGCACATGAAATTGAAAAAAAGTGGATTTTCAGCCAGGAAGCACTTGCAGAGATATGATGTGTGCTGGACAGGAGGCCTCTCAGTCAGTCCTCTGGCCGTCTGCTGCACAGGATGCAAGACTGCAGTTAAAACGGGTGGTTTTATTAAAGTGAATTTGTTTTTATGGAGCAGCTTTCCAAAGTTGAATTTTATTGCTGGAGCAGCTAATAAACAAAACAGTCAGCATGGTTTTGGGGAATCACAGATGAAAACATACAGTATGTAGTACAGTAAATATGCTTTTTTGATTGTGACTTCTATTTCAATGACTATATTTTTATGTGATGTGTTCTAGATGATCACCTGCACATTGATACTGATTTTTTTATCAGAAGCAGCTTGCGTAGATGAGTCTGTACAGGTGGACAAGACGTCACATCAACACAGCATACCTGCAATGAGGCTGCTTAAAAAATAGATTACTATATATAAAATATAAACTGTACATATGAGCTTTTGCTGTCACATCTCACAGTCAAAGAGCTGCAGGTCTTCTGTTTGTCAGGAATGACATTTAACAGTGACTCGGGATAAAATTCATTTTAGCACAGAAGTACAAGTGTCTCTGTAAGCAGTGCAGCAGTATGCTTTGTCTGACCGCAGCACAAAGATGTACTATATGGTGTTTATATACAGGAGATAAAAGTAATTCTAAGAAATGATGGAATCACCAAAGTAGAAGCAGATGAGACACAATGCTCAAGCACACACTCAGTGACTGTAACTTATAACTATATTAGAGTATTCAAGGTCACACATTTTCTCTTTCTTGCAGAACAACACAGAAGTCGATAGCAGTAGAATGAAAGAGAAATGTACAGGTCCTGAGAATGGAATACACCTGTCATAGTGTAAGGGCTACAGGCTGGTCTACATAAGCAGCCAGTGATGCAGTGCTAACATTTTAATTGCCTTGCTTCCTCTCTGCTCTCACCACTTGCCTCCCAGTTCTTGCTTTGATGATTTGATAAGTTCAGTGAGGCACATTAAAACTTTGACAGTTCAGCTGCTCCATGTTTAAGTCACAGTTTTAATTTTAGCTCAATTAATAACACAACCCCTGTTCAGAGCCTCTCACTACAAACTCATTTTAATCCATTTGAAGAAGCAGCCAGCGAAGGATCTTCCCATGTATCTGTAACATAATGGACATCAACATGTCGGCGGGATTAAAATGCTTCATTATAATCATGAAAATAGTTACCACTGTTTTCTGTCCATTCATTTCAGTTGACTAGACAACCACAGAGCACAGTCAGCACAAAGCTTATTTATTTCACACCACAGATGAAAAGTCCATGTTGTATTTGCCCCAAGCTTCATTTTAGTGATTTTTTCAAATCATAAAATGACTTCATGGATTTTCATATCACGAGTGAATAACAATACTGCAGACTTAGAAAGGTTAGACCTCACAGACTCAGATTTACAAACCTCAAGTCTAAATATTTTAGTTTTAAGCATAAACGCAAACATTTGCATATTTGTCATTTCTCAAAATATGCCAGAAAGTGATGAAAGTTAAGTCTCTCTCTCTCTCTGTGTGTGTATATTTTGATTTCATGCCCTCCACCATACTGATTCACTGTCGTGCTGTGAGGTAAACCTTCACCTCCATCTCAGGTCGCACTCTGGAGCAGGTTCTTGGTTTTTAATATGTTAGCACAAAATTCTAAATGCATGTTTTGACTTTGGCTTTATGGATGATGGAATTTAGATTAATGGATAAACAGAAAACCAAAACATCCCACATGCTGTCTTTCACTTCCTCAGATGGTCATAACTCAAAATCTGTGTTGTCATCCTCACACACTGTCTTTCAGTCAAGCTACCTTTCCCCATGACTGTAGAGCAGGGAGCTCTGGTTCTTTTGAGTGTTTAAAAATGTTTTTTTGTTTTATAAGGAAAACATATTATGCCATTCCATAGGATAGGTTTTCACCTGAAAACCACACATCCC